AATAAAAAGTGCAATAATAATATAGTAAATATGAGTTTTTAAACAGAGTCTACAACAATGGTGACCTTAGGAAACTCAGCATGTCTAAAATGCATTTTTATATTATTTGTTTGCAATACTGGGGATTTAAAAAGGCCTTTTAATTGAGCTATATTCCAGCCTTTAAATTTATTTTGCAACAGGGTCTCCTATACTGCAAATTTGCCCTGGCTAGGCAGCAACTTATGATCCTCATACCTCAGCCTCCCAGAGCACTGGGATACAGCTCTGTGCCACCATGCGCAGATTAAAAAACATGTTTATAATTGAAAAATCTTCCAAACAAATTGTCACAATATGTCACTAATGGTTATTACACTTTCTAAAGAAACTTTCCAGAGAGAGGCTTGAGGGTATTTATAGTGAAAGAACATACCAGGAAAGGCCTGTGTAACCTAGGTCAAGTAGGGTGGAAATGGAGAAGCAGAAATACAAGTTGCTAAGGTATTAAGAAGCAGGCAGGAGAAAGGTCACTCTGAACAGCAAAGGGTTTGTCCAAAGGCAGTGAGTTGTAGCCAGGAACTTCCCTACAAATTGGCTTCAGAATCCCTATACCAAGGCACTCTGGACAGTGAAATGGGTAAAAACGAAAAACTCTGCTAGGAAAAGATTCCATATCACTCCTGTCCTGATCCAACGCGCAGGGGAGAGGTGCTCAAGGCCAGTGGGTTGTGCAACATCACCATCTGTCAGCCTGAGAAACAGGGTTGCCGTAGGAAACCCATAGGAGGAAAAACCATCTTCTCCACGAGGGCTTGCCCACAGACTTGGAGCACAAGACTAGGGTAGCCAAGTGGAATGAAGCCAGGACCTCAGAATGCACTAGAACCAGCAGAGAGGTAAGCGGGAAGAATGATCGCAGCCATACATGGAAACCTCCCTCATCTTGCCTTCAAAACCATACCAAGAGTATCAGGAAACCCCTACCAAACAGGAAAAAAACCTGTCCCAGGATTGGCTGATTCGACGCCTGCACCCAGGCACCCAGTGTGGTCGCTGCCAATCTCTTCTTCTGTGTCAATAAGAGGATTTTTCCCCCAGTGGTGCTTTAACAAGTCAGTTAAGAGATGCATAAACCTGCTGCTGTATTGTACCAGCGATCCCTACATACACCCTTTGGGCTCTTCCTACCCTGAACTCTGAGAAGAAGACCCGAATCCTATAAAATATAAATGTTTGAAATGTTCAGTTGGTATAAGAATTCAACAGATAATGTTAAAAAAGATACACCCATATTTGAATCAAATGATTTTGAACATAAATTTCAATAATATATATTAAAAAAAGATACACCCGGACTCAGCCATGTAAGCCTACCCTTTAAAGACAGAGATTAATATTAACAAGAAATAGCCAAAGGAACATTTAGGGGGCAAAAGTTCCCTAGGTGTCTACAAAACAATACATTCCTTAATTTATTTTTATCATTCATTGTCTGGTAATATTTGGCATTTTATCTATTCTCATGAATTAATTTGATAACCAATTGTCATACAGCCCCAAGAAGAACATAGTCAATTGCCCAAGAGCTGATCCATCCATATCGAGCAACAAAAATCTGAGACATCTTCTAATTTCAAGGAACTACTCTTTGTGTCTCATGTAGTTATCTGTGCATCATTTTACGAACCTTGAAAACAAGTGAAGCACTAGGGATCATCCTCAGAAATAAAGATTATTATGGTTCATTAGCAAGTACAGTGTTTTTTACAAGAAGATTGTGACTGGGGGATTACAGAGAACAGCATGGGAGTTGAAAAACATGCATTTACTTTGAAGTGTTCATTCTTTAGCCTGAGAAATAAGTTAGATACAATTATATTTCATCTAAACTGATACATGGGGTATAAAGGAGATCTGGGGGAAATATCAGACTATCAAAAATTAATGACTAAAAGTGGGACTCTGATGTGAAAAGACAGTCATTATATCAAATTCTAGACCAGGCACTGAATTAAAGCAGGCAAGAAAATATGGGACACAGTCAGGTGGAAATAAAATGCACTAGTAGAAAACCTGGACAAAATTAAAGCAAGGAAAGAAATGGAGAGAAAAAATGAAAAGCCTTACCACAATTGAGAAGCCAGGAACGGCCATTCTCATGGGTGAATTCTATCCAACATTTAAAAAGAAATAATACCAATCCTTCACAGACTAGTGCAGAATATGGATGGGGGAATATTTCCCAATGCATTCTATGAAAATATTATTCTGCTAATAAAACCAGAGACACAACAAAATATTACAGACTAATATGCATCATGAATATTAATTGAACAATGCTTGAGAAAATATTAATAAAACCTAGCAACACATCTAAGGATTATGCAACATTTCCAAATGAAGTTTTGTAGGGAACAGGGAAAAGGGATGTTACTAGAACCTCTGCAGTAAGTCCTAGTCTCCTGTGAGCCACAACAGCACAAGGCAAGTTAACTTATTAGGCAGAAAGAATAGAAAAAATGAGACTTAGCAAAGAAGCTGAGCTTTGGGCCTGATCAATGCTGCTCTGGACAGCAAAGGTGAAAGTCCCCCCCGCCAGCTTGCCACCTTTTTTATTCAGTACATCAGGAGAAACAAATGTAACAGATAACTCAAGGGATGGTGAAAATCCCAGAAATATGAGGAACTATGCAGATGAAGATTTTGTTCCTCCTGGGATGTCTTCAGCTGGTGTAATCTTGTCCTGAAGCACCATGGCATCACCGGACCATTGAGGTTTTAGCTGTGACTGAAGGCCAAAATGGAGTTATGTCTCAACAAGCCATAGGGAGAACTAGGCCTAACCATAATTTTAATTTTGAAATGAATTTTTCCCAAAATTATGTAGAATTGCTCCTGACAAAGTTTCTCATAGGAACATGCTGTGGCTTAACATTCAAATTTCACTTAAGATAATACAACTTGTGAATAGAATAAGGACCAGATACCATATGATCATTGCATCAACAAGACCCAAGACCAGCCTGAGCAATTTAGCTACATAGTGAGTCACTGTCTCAAAATAAAAAATAAGGACTTGGGATAGAGTTCATTGTGAAGGCCCTGGGTTGTAACCCAAACTCCAAAAATAAATAAATGAATAAAAAACAAATAAAGAGAAATTAGGCACAGATACTTCCATCAGACTCAGTGGAATAGCTTTTTGAAAATGCTACTTGCTTCGGATTTGTGTTCCTTTATGTGGACCGATCAGCCTTTGGGAATATTTACAAAATGTGGCACGTTTTCCTTTTGGATTCTTTATGAATTTTTTTTTAAGAGCAGGGAAAATTTATTGAAAGAAAGCAAGCTTCTGTCTAAGAGAGGCAAACAAGGGACCAGAAAGTGGTGGGTTGCTCCCTTTATGAAAAATTTTAATCAAACTTGTTAAAGTGCTGAGAGGAAAGGTCAAATACTATCAGGAAACTTATGATAAATAATAAAATTTTCCAATGCCTTATTTCATACACACACAGGGAGATGTGTGCCTCCATCTTTCCTCTTCATGGCTATTTCTTCTGGATGTTAATCGGAGTCTCTAAATGTTGGACTTGCATTGCTCTATACAGTTGTTAGACATAATATGTTGAGTTCTGAAAACAAGGTTTTCAATTGTTCAGATATATTACAGGAACTTCTATTCATATTTCATGGTTGGAGCCCCTTAACACAAGGTGTCCACCCCTGCTCAGCATGTGTTCTTATAGTCTCTTACCAAAAGTGAAGGCACCTGAGGAGAGTTTTCAAGCATCTGTGTCAAAGTTAACTTCACACTTGGCCTTTTTCAAAGCATTCCAGAGACTTGGGTTTAATCAATTGTGTAGCTGACAATGCCCAGCATGAGACACAGGACACAGGTTTGGGAATGTGGAGAACAGAGTGACAAGAATGTAAATATTAGATTTAGTAAAATCTCTAGTGGAGATATAGTCACCCAGAATTGCGCATAGAGTGACAAGCGTCCCAGAAAATGGTTGAAAGTCAGAAAGAAACATGATTTTGTAGGTGATCCAAGAAAACAAACCAACGAGGAGATGTAGCAATAATGGTCTGAGGGATGGGCAGAAGATGCAGTGTGGTTATCCAGTCAAAGATGTGGACAAACCAGACCAGGAAACTTAGCAAGACATTGCCTCAAAATAAAAAAAGGTAGCGTTGGGCTGGGGATGTATCTCAGTCTGGGATGCTGAGTTCATTCAATCTGCAGTACCACCCACACAAAAGCAGAGTATATTGAAATGGGAAGTGTTACTATGGCCAGGAAAGCATTGAGTATGTTGATTTGGCAATGTGGAACTGGTTAGAGATTTTAGCTGAGCAATGTTCTGTGCACTTGAAGTGACCAACGAAGTATACTCTTGTAGTCTATGCTTTCAACCAGATTGGCTTCAAAGGAAGCAAAGACACCAAAATTCAAAGCAGAGGAATATGGACTTTTCAGGGTGTGGTACTTTCTGTTCCCCCAACCACCTTGAGTTGGACTCTGCAAAGCTGTGACAGTCTTTAAAAAGGCAGGGAGATGCCTGTGTCTCAAGGTTCAAAGACATACTAATAAACGAGGTATGCCCTCTCCAGTGATGGCACAGGGTCTAATCCTACTGGCTCTTGTGCCACCACTACCTGGCCATATTCCAGCGCCATCTGGTCCTGAAAGTCTTTGCCAAGGAAGCTGCATCTTTACAAACTCTTCCAATTCTACAGCAAGGAATTGGTGGAGAGGCAGGGTTCCACATCTGAGAACCCCAATGAGGAAGAGGACCAAAAGGAGCTGGACCATGCCAAAAGAAGAATCTAACTCTTCTTCCCCTTGACTTCCTCAGCAATACCTAGGATGAGCCCCAAGAACCCTGGTCTCCACCTGAGACCTAGGGACTGGTTTGCCTTTGCCTTTTTTGTTTTTGTTTTCTTTTTGAAACAGGGTTTCCTAGGCTGTTTAGGCTGGCCTTGAACTCACAGCAAGCCTCCTGCTTCAGCCTCCCAAGTGCTGGGATTACAGGCGTGAGCCACCACACCTGGCCTGACACTCTTGGTTCTCAGAGTTCCTACCATCTTGGAAGAGCCCATCTTCTGGTGGGCCAGATAATATGACTATATACTACCACCAAATGAGGCCGAAAACTGTCTACAAATGCATTCTAAATCACAGAGCTGCACAGAAAGTTAGGATGTTATTGACTTGGTGTCTATTGTTTCCCATTGCTCCTATTGCAAAATGGGTCACCTGGAAGTATAACACATTCAAAGGGCCAAAGAGAGACCAAAGACAGCTCTATTTGAAAGGTCAAAATATGCTCCTGAGTAGGAAAGTCACTGGTCCTCCTTCAGGACAAAGGGCCATGCTAGGTACATGGCGAATCTATGGCACATGTGCTACACAGGGTCATTTGTATCACTGAAAGCTCTAAAATGTTCACCATCACTGGTCTAGAAAAAAGGAATAAGTTACCTGAAAAACTTGTGTGATGGGCTAAAACCCTGAGATATTTATGGATATCAGGAACTTCCGAAATTCCCACTGGTACCTTTCACCCCTTGGGAGGGAAACTGGCATTATTTACCCTAATACAAATATAGAATCTTTATTTTTTACAAAAATACTTCTTTGAGTAAGAAACATTGGTTTTCTGCATTTCTTCCAGGTATAATTTCCTGGCTCTGCAGGAATTTTCTGAGCCCAAGCTCTAGGTCTCAGGCCTGGACATAGGGTTTGTTGGTAAAGGTCAAAGGGACCCAGTATCTCTTGGGGAGGGCAATGACATGGATCAGGGAAGCCCTGCTCACCTCAGGCCAAATCTCATCAGTTGCTCTGCTGTGATTGTCTTCTTGTCTCTCTGCTTTTTGTGCTGTATTTGGCAGGTCACTGGGCGCTGTGTAAAATTGTCCTGGCTTAAAGGCTAAGGGGAGGCAAGGATGCTCCATTTCTTTGTTCACAGGTATGATAGGACAGAAGGGAAAGGCAGTAGCTGATGGGAGCTGAAGGAGATGGTGTGCAGAGACCATACATTCTCGTGAGCCCACAGGAATATGAGTTCACTGACTTTCTCTAACTGGTACAATTCCTGTGTCCCGGACAGTAAGGAGATGCAACACTAGATTAATGTCCAATTTTGTGTCATCTAGTGCGATTATGTGAATAGCCCATTCAGATAAGTGCTCAGTATGTTTTGGTGAACATTTTCAGTCTCTCACATTCCCACTGCAGCTCACTACTACTTTCCAAGATAGTAAAGAACTCTAAGAGGATATCTAGTGTCTGTAGTGATGGAGGATAGGGCCTCTACCATTCATATGTTGTTCACAGTGTTCCTGGTCACTCCTGAGGGCAAGATGACTACTTTTGTCTCCCATGTCCTGTTATTGATCAGACTTGCTCCCCCATGCCTATAGTTGAAGTAACTTGCGTTTTTGTCCTACTCATCCTTGTCAGGACCTGGTGTTCCCTGGCTGCTCACCCTCAGTGCAACTGTGCTTGCACGTGCAGATCCCTCTGAATCTGGGTGTCATTGTCTGTCCTGCCCCTAAGGATATGAATTCCACAGCCTTGGCTGCAGGATCACCTAGGCCCAGGTTAGGCTTTCTTCCAGGTACCTTCTCTGCCCCCTCCATCAGCCACTTTCAACATTCCCCCTCAGGGAATTCATCACACTGGAGCCTCACCTACAACACAGCAGGAAATCAAGACAAGCTACAAAAAGTTAAGTCCCTAAACTTCAGCTATCCAACTATCCAAGGAGGCTAACCAGGTTGTTTTGGGAAGTGAATTTCCATGAGCCCCAGTATGTGTGGGGGAAGGAGTAAGATCTTTTTGTACTGTAGATCACTGTCCTCTTCACTGACTAGCTTGCTTCATTTGAGATGTCTGACTGTTGGCCACTGTCTCTGAGGTCCTTCAATCCGTGGAGTTTGCAAAAAGAACACTTTATCTGGCTTGCATTTCATGTTGACCCAAGAAATGAATTATTATACCCAGGTCATCCTTGGGAATTACAGGAGAATGTGTTCTCACAACATACACATCTCAAATATTACATTCTAAAAGGAATGGCTAAATGTGCCAAATATGTACAAAAACTTTTCTCAATGTTTATAGAGAAGTATACCTTGCTTAGGCAATATAGGTCTTTTTGGTTGCTATGGCTTATATCTAGACGTCCCACCAAAGCCTCATGCGCTCATAAGTGGGGCTTTCTGAGTGACTGGATCATTAGTGTGTGATACTGGATTATGGACGTGTGGTACCGGATCAGTCCTCTGATTCATTTAACATAGTTCTCTCTGTGATGGTTTTACTGAAGAGTGAAGACCAACTCTGGGGGTGGGTGGCACCAACCAATAGGCTTGCAGCCTGGATGGAATGAAAAGGGAAAGGAAGATGAAGATTCATTGCCTCCTGTTACCCTATAGATTATTTATTCTCTACTATGACCCTTTGCCATGCTTTCCTGCCTTGGAATCAGACAACTATGGACTAAAACCTCTACAAACTGTGAGCTAAAATGAACCTTTCCTCCTTTAACTTATACATGTCAGGCATTTTGTCCCAGCAAGGAGAAAATAACTGGTGACACTGACATGACTGTTTCATCGGGGTGATGGGGAGAGAAGCTCTGTTAAGCAGAGAAGATGCCAGTCACTGCTGAAACATGTGGAAAGAGGGTGAGTTTTCCTCCCTTCCTTTATGGAATGCTCTATGGCAGAGGAAGCAGTTGATAGGTCAAGAGAGAGGAGTGACCGCTGCAGGCACATCTTGAGAAGGCAGGAGACCTGGAATCCTGAGCAGAGCTGAGGATGCTGGTTTCTGTAAGTAGTGCTGCATGCAAGCACAGTGCAAAGAATACCAGGACAGCCATGGCTGTAACAGGTTTGCGAAGCTTAGAGAATCCCCGCACTGAGTGTTTCTGTCTTCTCAAACCACCATTATGCCAGATGGTTCTTGTGAAGAAGAGTTGCTAGAATAATGGAGGCACATTAGGGTAATACAGGTTGGAAGAGTTTAAAACCAAGAAGCAATCTGTTCATGGTCATCACAAAGGTAAAGTAATTCAGGAGGCTATAAGTGCCTCTCTTCATTGCTCAGATATAGGTAGGGCACCAGGGAGAGGCATGACTTCCCCAGATGTTCCCTGCTTAACCAAGGGCAGCGAAATTAGCTTGGAGAACATCCCTGACAATAGAAAGGCTCTAATGGTGGCCTACTCAAACTCGTGGGTAGAGTGACTCATGACAGGAAGACATGAATTAGGCTACCTTGAAATTTCTTCCACCAGATTAGTCCGCTGCCCTTAATTTCAGTCTTCCATGATTGTGCCACTTGAGAAGCCTGTTCAAACGCTTCTGTGGTTGGAAGCAGATAGTCCAGAGGATTGGTACAGGTCTCAAACATGGGGAGGGTATTGCAGTAGAGCAGCAGGTCATGTACATCCCATCCCTTGCAACACACAAGTGTACTGGGAAGCAAAGTCCCAGGAAAAATAGGGTAGGTGATGGTCAGCTACCTCACTGAGCTCTAAGGCCTAGGCCAAGAGCCTGCCAATCCTGAGATTCAGGCAGCAGCTTTCTTCCTGTAATGCTACTACTTCCGGCTGATGTTACTATGGTTGCCAGGTTGGGACTAGGAAGGCTTCCTAACCTGGCCAGGCCATTCTCAGGATCTAATTTGTCCTTTTCTAGTACACTTCAGAGTTTTCTCCTTCATTCCGTTTGGCTCCCCCAGCCTTCCACTTTACATTCTTGGGTAGAATCCTCGTGGAAAAGATGGATATTTCTACGACGACGGTGCTCTTCCGATTTTCTGGCTGTTAGATGCGAGTGTTGAGCTGTGCAGCGTCCCCGTGCATCTCACCTCCGCCTTTCCTTTCTGAAAAAAACAATACAACAAAACAAAAAAATAGCCTGATCACTTCTTTGGAAAGTTTTTTGTTTTCTTTTTCACTGCCTCTGGCAAATTGGTGCCAGGAATTCTGAAGCAGCATTAAGGGTGGTATTCTAGCTAAAACTCTAAAATTATGGACAAACCCTTTGTTTTTGTGAGTGTCTTTAATCCTGTGGGGCCTGACCAAGCAAGCTAGCAGCTGCTTCTCTGAAAGATCTTCTTACACTTTTCCTTACTGGGAGCTGGGCTTTATGGCCTTTCTCACTATGTTCTTTTATTACAGCAGTCATTGAATCGCACTCTAGAAAATTTCTATAGAAATAAAACATAACACAGACAACTATTCTTACCCAATTTCCCTTTGTCTCATGAGGGTAGATTTTTATCTAGGGTTACTTAAAAAAAACCCTCATCAATGAAACAATCAGAGATATAAATTTAGAAAGAAAATCACTTTATTGGAAAGGGAAGATAAACGGGAAGCAAAATCATTGTGGGAGTATGGTAGGGAGCCCGGGACTGGCACTGGGGTTCTTTTTCTAAGCCTCCATGACAAAAAAAGCAATCTTCCCCTTGAAGGTCGTTATAACTTCATTGGCTATTTTGGGTTCTGAGGACCCTGATTTGGCCATTGACCCTTCCGTTGCCTACGTGTACATTTTTCAATAAGTATTTCTTTGGTCTCTTTGTGCTGTCCCAGTGCTTATCTTGTGAGTTTTACAGCATTTACATTCAAGGCTGAATTAGTAAAGAGGATACATGTGCATTTTAGTGTATTAATATGGTGAGAATAAAATATATATGTACATATATGTGTGTCTGTTAGTGCATATTTTATGTATTTGTAAAAATAAGATAGCTCCCCCCTCTTTCTTTTTCCCTTAACTGGGGGTGGAGGGAGGAGGAAATGGAGGCCTTGGCGTTTGAAGTCAGCCAGGCTAGGAGGAACCAGCTACCCTATTACATCTGTTTTTCTTAGCTATTCTCTCAAGCAGGGGTTTAACTCTTTTATTTGCCAGAAACCTCACAGAGGACCTTTAACTCCTCCTGTCTGTCCCCTAACTTTCCCTATATTTCCATCACACTGCAGTAATGTTTTGTGATAATTTTCTTCGATGATTTTTCATCTATAAAATGTATTGTAGAAGAGATCCATAAAGTCTTTTGCTTTAATATCTCAAAAACATATATATTTTGCTTTTGTTTTTGACTTTTGGGGTTGTTGCTGTTGTTTTGAGAAAAGGTCTCACTATGAAGACCAGGCCAGCCTGAAACTCACAGTGATCCTCCTTCCTAAGTCTCCAGAGTACTGGGATTACAGGTGTGTGCCACCAGGTCAGATTCAAAAGTCATATATTCTTGAAATAATCATACAAAATCACATTAACATGGACAGTTAATATGTGTTAACAAAAAACACAAGATAGCCTGAATTCTCCTGTCCTGATAAAAATTTGAAAAAGACTTGAAAATTTTTTATCAGAATTGTGAAAAAAATACTTAACAGACATAAAAAACAGAAAAAAGCCAGGCATGGTGGCACACGCCTGTAATCCCAGTACTCAGCAAGCTGAGGCAGGAGGATTGCTGTTGAGTTTGAGACCACCCTGGGCTACATAGTGAGTTCCAGGTCAGTTTCAACTACATAGTGAGACCCTGTCTCAAAAACAAACAAAAAACAGAAAAAAGACTTGACCCATCATCTCACTATCAACATAAATCATGTTTGATTTGCTTTGTTTTTGGTGGTCAAAATACCAATAATACAGTGCCCAGAACTATGTTCTCAATACAGGTATTCATTGAAAACATTTTGAGGGGCTCATTTCTTCTAGGTAATTTTCTTTGTACATTTCTTTGTAGGTCATTACATAATATTCTGATGGTATTGGTGGAACTCTTACAGGGGATTATCTTTCAAATGAACACTTTCTTGTCAACAATTAGCATGTTAATAAATGCAGAAAAACACTTTTTGCTGACTGTTTTGCATTCTTCCCTGTATGTCTTTATTTCATCCTTGTAGTAGGATCAGAAAAGCATTCTGCAACCTAAATGTGTTGTCTAGAATCTGATGGACCAGGGACTGTGGTGAAAACTTGTGCCTTCCCTGAAGAGTACTGAGACCCTTTGATAACTGTTGTCACATCTGTGTACCACAGTTTCCTCACGAATAACGTAAGAGTGGTTATAAAATCGCCTTCAAGTGGTGATGGCCTGCAGAAATAGCAGTTTCTGTCCTGGAAATCTAACCATTAATAATATTTTGTGATTAATTTTCTTAGGGGAATTTTCATCTACAAAAATGCATTTTAGACAGGGGATCCATATGTGCGTCACAACCTCAACATTTTTCTTTTCAAAGTTTTACACTTAGGAAATTTGGTTTTCAAATTTGGGTCATTTTTATTGAAAAAATGGAAGCAGACTAGGGATTTAGCTCAGTAGCACCTTGCAAGCACAAGGTCCCGAGTTTAATCCCCAGTACAAAAAAAGAGGAAACTTTTAGTAAAACATTGATAGTTTCTGTAAAAGTTACTTTCAAATTACAATATCTGGTTGTTGAAAATATAACTATCACCAGGCTTCTTTATGAGGGCAGGATTCATTCTTTAGTTCTCAGGTGTTGAAAGACTAAGCAGCACTTAATAGGATGCTTAACAATCACTGTGAAATAAAATAACTACATTTGTAGTCATTTTTCTTTATGTAAAATCAATGCTTTCAAAGTATTGGAATATTATACAGCATCATTTATTCTACAAGTTTTTTTTTAAATTTCCCATGTTGTAGTCAGCATTTGCCTATGTTATTAATGTTTCTTAAAAACCAAACTTAGGAACTCAAAACATGGCTTGGTGGAAGATTGTTCAGGTCACATGCACATGGCCCTGTGTTCTAGTAATAGCACAAGATGAAAAAATTCGGTTATTTCTGTCAGGTCAATTAATTTACTGGATTGTTTTGCTTGTTGGTGACAGATTAAAACAGTGCTGAAGTGTTTGCAGACTTACCACTCTTCATTCCATGAAAATTATGCTGAGGCTCAAGTAATTAAGATGCAGCACAGAACTGCGTATATAGAAATAAATATTTTATTATTTATTTATTTATTTTTGGTGGATTGGACCCAGATAACACTAAGCTACATCCCCAGCCCTGCTTTTTTTCTTTGAGACAATGTTGGACAGGCAAGTTTAGAACTCAGGAATGTCCTGCCTCAGCCTTCTGAATAGGAGGGACTACAGATATGTTCTACCAAGTCTGCCTAGATATTTCATTCATGCTGGATGTGTTTTATCAGCTGTTATTAATTGCCCTTCCATAGGACATTGCCCTAGATTGAAATTAGTGGACTGAGCTGACATTCAAGAAGTCATCCTAATATTATTTGTTCCAATAATCAAACACTTGCTGCCTTGACTTGGGTCATGTAATGATCTACAGAGGAAATAAAGAAAAATACACCAAATATGAACTTAAGGGCCCAATTACCAAAATATGGTTTGAACTAGGAAGATCAGAGAGAAATGAAATTACTGGAGTGAAAATAGCCATAATTAAGAATAAGAAACACTGAAAAGTAATCTCTAAGGTTAGTTACAAAACAGTATCAAGCTACTATACTGGCCTCTGCTAAATAAGGGATTATTTGAAGAAAAATATCTATCTGTCTTTTGGATAATATATTTTCATTTGCAGAGGACCACAATATTGATTATGCCCAAAGCAGGCTGTAAGCAGTGTAGGCTATGAGGAGTGAACCCCACAATTGGCTTGTTTATACAAGTGAGTCAGATCAAAGCCTCTGTGCCAAGGTCAGAGTAACTTGCACCCAAATTCTGTTGCCACAAATAAAACCTTCTGACTAGAAGACAATGTTCTCATTACAAACATATATTTTGTCTATTTTGTTCCTAATTCAAGAATGCTTTGTCTTGTCCTTTACGAGCCTGGCTTATTTCCATAGAAACTGCACGACTTTGAATTTTCTCATAGTCCTACCCTTCCACATAGCTTGCCTTTTACACCAACTGATTACTAATAAATATCAGTGGCTTGGACTGACCAGTACCTCTGTCAGTTGCACCAGCATTAGCTGTCCTGGTCCCCCCTTTCTCTCTCTCTTAGTTCTGTTTTTTAGTGTTTTTCTCAGGCTTGCATCATATGTTGAGCCAGGAGACCAGAACCTACTACAAAGGTTTCCAGTAACATTTCAGGGAGTTCCAGTATGCATTCCCTTATTAAATCCTAACTAAAGCTTATATATTAGTACATGGATTGCAAGATAATTGAAAACCATACTTCATAGATAACTGACGTTTTCTTGAGGTAAGTGTGTTTTTATGATATATTTTTTCCAAACAGCAAATTGTAGTTTTTCTATACTTCTTTCTTACTGCCAGTGAGTCCCATCAGTTTTCAGGTACCCATCATTTGTATTTAAACAATGTAGGGCATGGCACGGTGGCAGGTGCCTGTAAACACCTTGCAAGCACAAGGTCACGAGTTTGATCCCCAGTACAAAAAAAAAAAAAAAGTTCCAGTGTAGACTGGGCATCTTCATGACTTAACTAGACCTTGTTTCAAAATAAAAATTTACAAGGACTGAGAATATAGCGCAATGTGAAGGCCCTTGCTTCAATTCCTGGTACCAAAAATGGACGCATTATTAAAACAACGAGAAGTCTTGCACATATACCTCTACATGACACAGCACAATTGTTTTTTGAAAATGAAAGATGGCTCTGATTTTTCCTTCCTTGATATGCATGGATCAGCAGCTCTTTGGCACATTTACTGAATCCAATTTCCTTTTGGATTCTTTATGACATTTTATTATCTAGTCTATTTTTTCATTTAAAGACCAAATACTACAACAAAATATACGATTAAAAGCAATACTCAGCAATCCTTTGTTTCATCCAAAGCCAGGGAAATGTTCCTCAAACTGTCTCTTCAAGGATATTTCATCTGAATATTAA